TAACGTAACGACGACGTACGTACGTACGTAGTACGTACGTACGTCGTACGTACGACGTAGAAGAGAGTAGAGAGTAGTAGTAGTAGTGTGTGTTGTGTTGGTTGGGTCGGGAGGGGGGGGGGGGGGGTGGCTTTAGTTCGACTTTTTAAGGAACATTAGAAATTTCCATAGACTACGGACAGTCTAGTACACATGTATCGAGTATATAATTCTGAGGCGGGCCAAGCGTATGAACCAAAACTAAAACAAACTTCATTGCGAGGCCCAGGCGTTGCGTGCAGGCCCTAAATTCTAGCCCAAGCATGGCCCGATGGAGGCCCATTTGGCAGCCCTTTGTATATAGATTGACAGAAAGAGCTTGTAGTGATACCATTGTGATCCTCACATCTTGTATATAGTATGACATATTAATACAACTTGAGGAGCATAATTAATTCAGAAATCATCAAAATGCTAGTGATTGCAACATGCATTTACTGCTGCACAAAAATTGTGAAAATCCAATGCAAATAATATTCATACAAAATCCAATGGAGCACCCAACGAAATTTTAGTTAGCAAACTCACAAGTTTAACTCTTGTATATATTTTCATATGTATTTTCAGTTAACAGATTCAAATAAACAATACAACATGAGAAGCATGATTGATTGAGAAATCACCAAAATGCAAGTGATTGCAACATGCGTGTACTGCTGCACAAAAATTGTAAGAATCCAATGCACATGATATTCGTACAAAAGGCAATGGAGAATCCAGTGAAATTGTAGTTTGGAACTTGTGAGTTCAACTGTGGTATGGGTAGGACACATTAGAGTTCATGAACTTGAGGTTTGAGATGCATACCCCTTATCTATGTTTAGGGTTTACATAAATAAAAACTTAATAATGAAATAAATAAAAGTTCAAATTATATTATTGGATTCTTTTAGAAGAACTATCCTACACATCCTGAGAAGAATCTAGACTTGTCGGATTCCACCTGTTGCAAAAATCCTCCCTTCAAGATTCTTCGGAATGGAAAATCCAGCCGTGTCCAGGTTGTACTTGTACCTGTGTCCAGACGTGTCCAACACGGATATTGGAGCCTATAGTGAAATCCATGCAATATAGCCTATGTGCAAGCCCCACAACACCGAAAGGCCACAATAATTCAAAATCCAAAGGCCTTTTCTTGACAGATGTTGCAAGCCCAATATACAGGCAGTGAATCCTTACACATGAACATGTGTAGAATTTGCACAAAAAGTTAGTTTGCTTTAATTTTTCTATGGCTCTATGACATCTTTGGTAAACAGAATATCACATCAGATTATATGTTAAATCAGAGAAAAGATGCCAGTTGTACACCACCACTTCTCTATATTTTTATAGCATATTTCATTTTCTCAGAAAGATCAAACACTTTAAAGTCAATTCGCAAAGCAAATATACGACCATCAAAAAAGGTGAGACAAGGAGACAACAACAAACCTCCCTCAAGAATTCCTTAAGACGCTCTTCTTGGAAGTCTTGCTCCATGAGTATTTTCACAGCAACATCCTGTCCACCATTTGTTTAAAACATGAGTAAACAATCAAGCGTGTACTTTGCAGAAGTCTAGCAAGAAAAAAGGCGCTGTCTCTACACCAATTGAGAGCCAAAAGGAAACAAAAACAAGATCATGGATAACACAAGGCATCTTGAAGTTCAATAAAAACTTAAAGACACATAGAACAGGATGACAACTTGATCCATAGATAGTGAGATACCAGTACACATCCAAAATGCATTTCAAAATAGTTTTTCTTAAACATGATCAATATGAGAAACCAACATGGATTTCCATTTCAAACCATAATAAAAGAGTGATATCAGAAAACCCAACTATTCACAGAACTTATGGCGGATTACGATTCCTATGTAGCAATTACAATGATGAACATCTGTTATTTTACAATAGATATTTTCATCACCTAAGAAACTCTTAGTCACGAAACACAAGGAAACAAGGAGATAATACTTACTGATCCATGCCAATCAGCGCGATGGACTGTGCCAAAGGAACCTGAAATGACAACAAATTATCAAGTAAGCATAAAGACATCAACATAAGCATTTCAGAAGGCTCACTTCAAAAAAGAACAAGATGCTACCTGCTCCAATTCTCTCCTTCAGTAGAAGATCACTCCATGGAATATCAAGTTCATCCACAGCCAGAGGTAGTTCACGGGATGATTTGCTTGGTATCATACGTACAGGATCATTGAGTCTCAAGTCCTTGCCCTTATCAATCGTCTGGTCAACCAAGGCTAATATTTGTGGAACATTTCTATGCCCATGTGGTTGAATATGTTGCAATGGCACAGAATCATTGCCACTATCATTGAAATGTATACCTGTCAGTTGGCGACGATTAAACCATTCATCAGAAGGCTTGGCTTCATTAATCCCTCGATTATGGAGCTGGATAAGAGCAGGCTGAGAAACTTCATCACCGCTACTGAAAACATGAGACATACACATTGTGTCTGGGTACTTGCTGTCAAAATTCTTCATGGGCAGTGCGTCTTCTTGACCAGAACCTCTACCTGTTAACGTGGAAGCATATTTCATAAATTAATCACACTTTTCCATATAAACATGCTTATGCATGTCAATTATACACAGATTTTATGCACAACTCTGAGAAGGAATCCATCCCCTCAAAAAGTAAAACACAAGCTACCAATTAAATATTTCTTCAGATTATTTTGGTGAAAAGCAAATTAATGTCACTTTGATAGTATAAATTCTGTAGTCGTATTATTGCTTTCACAAAAATATGAAGTGAAACCTATAATACTAGAAGTTTTTTCATGGTTTGGCAGTGCAGTCTACATTGAGGTTTTGATGTTTTATCACTACAACAATGAACTTCTGAAGTAGAGGCAGTAGCTACTCATCAGTTTCTAGTTTCCTATCTCTTTTTAAGTGTCTCGAGCATTTCTATTCTTTTGTTGCTGAGTTATTTTTTTTTTTTTTTTTTTTTTGAGATTAATTGACTTTGTTTGCTGAGAAGTTGCACATACGTCAATCAATTTCAAGCATAAACATTGTTCTATAAGGGCGATTTTACATCATATTAAAGCAGGGTTCTGCTGAGATGTAAAATTCCAGACCAAACCCAAGCTTGTGATCTCCCATATTGAACTGGCCTCATAAAAGCCTCAAGATAGGTACAGTGCAATTATGTTCCAGACAAACTCAGCATGCACCTTATGATAATATATAGCCCCATAAGAGGTACTTACAGAATGTGGCGTTATATTAAAGTAGCAGCAGCCTTAGCGTAATCTATATCATTTTTATGATAGGCAGAAAAGAAAAAGAAAACAAATAGAAAACAAAAAAATGTCCATCTCATTATTTCATTGCAGCAACAGCTTGCTTAAAGAAAAATCATATCCAAGATGAAAGTTAGTGGACAGAACAAGCCATATTGATTATAACAGCCTAGAGAATCACCTGTTGAGAGACCATCAAAGATAAGATCCAAGGACTGGCTATCCATGAAATATTGTTTGGCCAAAGTCTTGAAATTTTCAGTAACCTCTATTGATTTATATCTTGGAGGACGCAAAGGCGAAGATATCGACAAGGAAGATGGGCCATTCAAAAAGGAATCTGGCTCGCATAAAGATCCCGGGTTCCCAATCAAATCAACTAAGTATTCCCTGAAAGGAGATTATTGCATTTAGCAACTAAGCAAATTGGGAATATGCCTTCACACCATAAAATCCTAACAACAACCGTTGAGAAAGGTTCACAGTTATGATATTCCATATAGTAAAACTACATTTACAATATCAGGAATAAAAATTATAGCACAAATAAATAAATTTAAAATATAGAATGAAAGCTGAAAATCATGGGGAAGAGAAGAAATTGCATCCTAAAACACAAAAACTATAATTTGTCAACATATTTAGACAAGCAGTTACCAGTAAATGTAAACTCAATAACAAACAATCACATCTACCCACACGCCAACAAAAATAAATTGGCAACCAATTATACAGTCATAGAACACAGATGACTGACTCAATGCACGAAAGAACTAGTCACCTCTAATATTCATCAGTGGATAGAATGCACTGGAGCCAAACCAAATCTAGATAAAAAGGTATGTATTTTGGGCAAGGAGAAGTTCCTGAGGCCAATATGATAAGAAATCATGACAAACTTGGGGAATAGTAGATTTTTTTTTTTTTTTAAAACTGGTATAGATTATTATTATCATTTATTCATTTCAACACAAAAGAAAGAAAATAAAAAAAATAAAGATGCGTATTGTAGTTGACTAGGAAATCGACTTCTGATCCACTGGAAAGAAAGTAATTCATCAACCAGCATACCTGTCTGCTCCGAACCGCACTATGCAGGAGGAAGCATCATCTAGCCCACAGTATTTGCAACCTTTAGCAATCCGACAAGGTAGATCTATAGTATCAGCTAACACCTGTAGAGGCCACAGTAATAAATATATCACAGGAAGGTCATTCACCTCATACATCAACAAGACTTAAAGCATTGCGACTGGGATAGGATTCCACGGCGCAATGCCCAGGTAAGCTACATGGCATATTTCTGTATATTTCGTAAAACAGGTCAAATAAAAAATGAGAATTTTCTAATTGGTAAATTCAGGGCAGATATTGTGAAAACAACTAACTATTGCAAAAACACACTAAAAAAAAACTATAATACACAGAAGGAAGTTTGAAGTTTACTTTGAAGAGTAGGGTGCGGTGCCTGCAGAGACCAACAGATAGACTTCCTACAGGGAGCACAACAGAGCCCAAGGAACCCTTGAGCACCTTAGTACACTCCTTCCATTGGTCCATTAACTCCCCTTCTTCAGTAGAAGCTGCAGCCCTTATTATTCAAATAATATCTTGGTTACTAGAAATATTGAGGGGGTATACAAAGCATTGTAGCCATCCATAAGTAAACTGGAGTAAATGACAAAGAAGGGGGAAGGGAGAAATAACTCACCCCATACGCGAGCATACAAGCTTCCCCAATTGCTCAACTACTTCTTTTGTGGTAATACAAGAGAATGACATACCAATCACCTTATTTTCAAGCTCTCTTAGCTCAAAATCACTCCTTTTATCAATCAAAACCACCTCAATTGATGAATCATTGGGAACAACAGCCATTAGCGATTCAAGCGATGGCATCCGTCCACTTTCTTGCTGATCAGTACATACAGCCCATACGTACGAATCCAGACCCCAAATTTGGTAGAAACCATCTGGTACCTTGTCACAATAGGATAGACACCCATTTACCTAGAAGATGCCAGAAGTACCACCAATGACAAGATCGTTGAATACCAAATAGCCAGAAAACAAAGTCAATATCAAAAGTCGTTTTAATAAATGGTAATTTACTATGATTGTAGAAAGAAACAACTTGTAGTATACAAACTAGGGAGGATTGAATGTGTAAAATTCAAAATATTAAAAATGATTTTGAATAAAGAACTGTTTAACTCAGCTGATAAGTTAGAGCAGTTTCATGCAAAATACATGCTTATAACTAACAATAAAAATCAAACTTACATCTATAATTTCGCATGAAAGAAAGAGGTTCAATCCATGTCAGGATGACTTTGTGGATCTTTATCAGAATCAAGAGACAAACATACATTATATATTCGAAGGGAAACACATGATACCAAGTAGATAAAATGCGGATTGAAACATATAGGAGGAAGAACGCAACTACACTGAATCCCAGATTAATTCATCAATATTAATAGAGCCTTTAAATTTCAATAAACAACCATTTAATTTTAACAACTTGGGTCCATTCTGGCTGATACTGAATTCTGGCTGATACTGAGTTTCTCTAAAGAAATTTCATAAGAAATCAGGATGAATTAATCACCTAATTATTAAATAAAATAGCGTTAGCCATCCACACATTAGCTCCAATTCTTGTCCTTCTTCCTCTTCTCATTCTCTTTTGAATAATTTATTCTACTCGTCCTCCTTCTAACTAATTCTTGTTGGTTGCATCAGATGATTTTTATGAAAAGGATTACAATGCATTAACCACCTATTGATTTTAAAGGGGGGAAAAAGGCCTTTGCCACCAATATCTCCATAGCACAGTGATATCTGTATCCCAGAACATTTGTCTAGAACCACCAAGTAAACAAATTCATAGAGAGAGACAGAAAAAGTAAAAAATGTACCCAACAACCATGAGGCAAAGTTCGAGAGAGAGAGAGAGTGTGTGTGTGTGTGGAGGGGGGGAGGATGAAGAGAGAGATTTACCCAACCATGAGAGAGATTGAGAGAGAGAGAGGGGGGAGGGAGGGTCAATGTACCCACAAGCATGAGGTAAAGATTGAAGGAGAGAGAGAGAGAGTACCCAATATCGATAAGCCAAATATTCGAGACAATTACGAGGGGACCCGAGCACAATATCACCCGGTCGATTGTCCATGAAATTGGGATCTTCAGTATGAGTGGCTTCAGCTGATAACCTGAGAGCAAGAGCCAATTGCAACTGATAGCTCTCCTCTGTTTGTTGAGCAAAGCTCTTTGAATTTGAAGAATTACTAGTGACCTCAACCTGTTTGAACCTAGAATCACTACTACCATTTTTCCAAACCTCTTCTTGTAAAGGATTGAAAAAAGCAGGATCATTTGTATTCAAAGAAACACTTGGATGATAATCCCCTGATAAAGAGCTTTCTGCAAAGCTGCTACCGCTTGATTGTCTCTGTAACCCGCTGTTGGGAAAAATGGACGGCCCCATCCTGCCTCCTGGTTGCAATCCGACGGCCAGATTTGATCGAAAATCACCATCAGACCAGTCAAAAACCCTATCTGATTTGGCCTTGTTCTTGTCAGAGGGAGGAAAGGATTCATAGGTTGCAGTGTACTTGGATTGATGGTCTTCTGATGAGTTTGGGTACTGGCTCAAGAGGGAGTAATTGGATCTCCTTCCAGGCATTTCCATAGGAAGATGATGAAGAGAAGTTGATCAATCAATAAAACCTAACACCCATTTTACTTTTGAATTCGACCTAGACAAAGCTTGACAACTCACTGAACCTTAATTCCCCATTTTTTCCAACTAAATCAACCTATAAGCAGCTCAAATTATCAGAACCTGCGATTTGTGCCTGTGAAATGCAGCTTGCGCTCACAGATAATCAAACCCTAACTCACCATTTCCAAAAACCAGATTTTGTGCTCTACTGAAAGGTACTAATCTCAAAAGAACCAATTCCCCCATTTTTTTTCACCTGTAAATCGTCCCAGGACACAGGTGATGGATTAACGAACCTAATCCATCATTTTCACCAATAAATTCAGCAGCCCATGCAAAAAATCAATAAATGCGTAGCTACAATCCGCAGTTTCTCAGCTGAACTGTCACAAATTCTCCGTTATCACAAGCAAATTCTTCCCTGAAAACAGATTCACACCAAAGGCCAAAACCCTATCTCATCATTCCAAACACCAAATTTGCCCCCGGATCACTCTTTTCACCAATAAATTTTGCCCAAAAAAACATAATCCTCGGAACATCAAAACCCTAATTCACCGTTCAAGCTTCAGAATTGAGGTCCAGAACACCATTTTTCGCCCCTCAATCCTGCCGTAGAAGCACCCGAAACCAATCAATATGCCCTAATTCACAGGTCCTGCAAGTTCGTCATTTCATAGATAGAGAGAGCAAAGAATCGTCGAGCGCTAATTCGCCATTTTCAGAATAAATTTTCTGCCAAAAACACTGATATTTGGAAAAGCCGAACATTTGGAAAATCGGAAATTTCGGCGAAAAAGGCATACTCTCGGTGGTCAATGCCATTGGTTCTCTTCCATGCCCAGAGGACCGCATTTTCATACTTTCGGCGGCCGATATAATTATAAATTTCTTCCATTTAAAAGCGCACGTTAATATTGATTAAATGGAGTTCGCACGTACGGAGAGAAAAATGAGGGGCATTTTTTTACATTTTCTTGGTCATGAACTACTTGGGATTTTTTTCAATCTGAAATTTTACGAACTATTTAGAATTATTAGATATTTATTTTAAAAAAAATGAAATTTAAGTCTGATTAAATTTTGGATGGTCCTTATTCTATCTGGAGACAAGAATGAAAATTTAAGAGTTTTTCTTATTGAGGTTATTCCATAAGTTGCATAGTTTGGGGTATTAAAAATAAGGACCCAGTTTGGGCTCATATGTAGAAATGTGCTGCCCCCCCCCTCAATAATAGATTTTTCAAATGGATTTTCGCTTTAGCTTTTAAGGACAATATAATCTCTAACATGGAGATCATTAATATATAAAAATAAATAAGTTTAAAAACTAAAAAATAATTTTTTAAAAATATTTCGACTATTTGTTTGGACCACAATTTACATTGTTTATCCATATGGGGGAATGCAAATGTTAGCATGCATCCCCTACATATAACATTCTACATAAATTTAATTTTAGGTGGGATTTACCGAAGGGAGTAAATAAACATTCTACTTTTGTGGGAGTCGAATATCTTTTGGTGAATCTATTTTATAGATGATTTTGAATTCCAAACCTTATGAAAATCTCAACCTTGACAAGTCCGAGTTTGGAAAAATAAATAAAAATAAACTTTTTTTTTTTACATTAACATCGTTTGATTGTAAATTTTTGTGGGGCTACATTTTACAACATGCGTCAAGGGACACTATTGTAGAAATGCGTCACCTAACGCACAAACTACTTTTCCTTTAAAGATCCATAACCCTATGATTATCACATGGAAAATGTTAAGGGTGTGGTTCATATGAAGTATCAACCTTAAACTGTCAAAATAAGGTGTAGTTTCAAACTATGTAAGCTTTGATCAATCAAAGTAATGCAAACCTCCAAATTATGTCAAACGTTGCAATTCTGTTGTTGGGGATATCCCGCGATGGTTTCACTTCTAATTATGAAATTTGGAGCTTGAAAAACAGTGCACGTCCAGCAAGTCAGTATATCATAAAATCTTGAAAATATATAGTCCAGATAATGTATTATAAAATATACTATTTTTATTTTGAATTTTTTTTTTTTTTGACATCAATACATCTTAAGGTTAAGATGACCAATTAGAGGACTTTTCAACACTATAACATCTTCTCTTTTTGGGTCTTTGAAGTGCGCGTTACTCCTGTTGTATAAAATTGACACCTTCTAAAAACTTTTAGCAAATAACTAAGGAAAAATATACAACGAGAAACTATTTACTTTTGGTATAAGGAGGTTAGAAACACTCTTATCCCTCATATTTCAATCGGTAGTTGTAAGAGTGTCATTGATTGAATTAAAAATTCAAAAAAAAAATTCTCAAATTTCGTAATCAACCCAAATCATCTAATTTGAATAATTAGATGTGAATAATTATGACCTCCTTATAATAAAGACAAATAGTCTCATATTAAACGATCATCATCATCATTAAAGCTTTTTTTTCTAACTAATTTGAGTCATCTATACGAACCCTAATCCGTCATTTTATTTCATTAAGGGTCATACCACTCAATGAGGTCATAAATTCCCATATTTTTTCTCCCTGCTTCCCACCATATCTATTTGGGTCTACTACTTGTTCTTTTTAGCATTTCCCTTCAACTAATTCGTACATCCTAATAAGTGTTGTACTAGATATACGCCACACATGACCAACCCAACTAAATATATAATCCCCAATATAATATATGAATAAAATTTTAAACTTTTTTAATACAATATACGAAATCCCAAATTTGACCCACCTCTCTCATCCCAATTCCAATCTCTCTCAACCCCATCTTCTCTTAGCACAATGATTTCTCTCTCTCATCTTTTCTCTTTGCACAGTGATCTATCTCTCTCTACCCACCTTATAATTCCTCTCTCTCATCTTTTGTCTCTGCACAATTATCTCTCTCTCTACCCCCTTATAATTCCAAGCATCAATTGGCGAATGGGAACATGTTTGCTTACACATAAAAATGTAATGGAGAATTGTGCTTTTCTTAATACGAAGTATTTCTCCAAGTTGATGGGACAACAATTAATTTTATCTAGAATAAATTCTCTCATCTAAACTTTTAATATACTCTAAAGGGTGTGGTTTACACAAGATTGAGGCCCTAAACAACTAAAGTATGACGCACTTTCAAATAGTTTCAAAATATGTTGTTTCAGTGTCCGAAAATTTTATGATGGCATAAAAATTTATTTTCATCTCTAATTATAAAAATTAAAGTTCAAAATAGTGTAGATCGAACAGATCTATGAACACTTGAAACTCTTGAAGATTCACGGTGTAGATAATACATTACAAGATGCATTATTTTCATGACTTTAGATCTATTTTTTCTCATGTCTATACATCTTGAGGTCGAGATGATCAAATTGAGGGTTTTTAAACATCGATACAACCTTTTATAATAAAATTTTGAGGCATGCCTTAATTTGATTGTTTAAAGCCTCACCTTATATAAACTTTTTCCTACTCTATATAATATTATGTTCTTAGTTTTCTAGTGATTTTTAGCTACTTTTCATTAAGAACTTGTAAATTTCAGCAAAGTATTTTGAATGAAGTAAGAACAATTTTTCAAAAGGATAAACTTGTAAATTGTTTATAAGTTTATCTCATATCACCTTATCACAGATCATGTCAAACAATTGGATATTATCAATAATAATTTTATTAAACTAGTGAATTATGTGTGATAATCAATACATCCAAACATAATCTACCTACTCCAATTTAATGAAAAGTCATAATTAATAACGCCTCGTAGCAATTACGTCTCCCAAATCAAACATACCTACATGGAGAGAAGAAATAAAGAAAAGAAAATTACTACATTTGTTTTTATCTCGAGCGCCGAAATAAGATGCAAATGTCTAAAAAATTTGTTTTATTACTTTTTAGAAAAAATACTAGTGTTTAATTCTTCATTATATAGGGTGCAGTTTGTATGGAGCAGAGGCTCTAAACAATCAAATTAGAGTCCCACCTTCAAATAATGTCGAAAAATTTGGTTTCAATACGATAATTTTTTTACTAGCCTTAAAATATATTTTCATCTTTAATTATAAATTTTAAAACTTCAAAAATAGTGTATATCGACCAGATCTATGAAAACTTGAATAACTTAAAAATTGACGGTCAAAAAATGCATTACAAGTTGCACTATTTCCAAACCTTCAAATTCAATTTTTTTTCAAGTCTATATATCTTGATGTTGAGATGATCAATTTAAGGATATTTGGGTATCAAAACAAATTTTTGAGATAGGTTT